AAATTAACACTATTTTTAATAACTCATGAGTTAAAAAAGAAATCAAATAGGAAATTAGAAATGTTAACAAAATAATAATGAAAACATGGAATCAAGATTTGTGAAATGTAGCTAAAGTAGTGCTTAAAAATTTAGTTTTAAGTATTTATATTAGAGAAGAAAGGTCTCAAACCATCCAAGATTCCAGGTTAATCTAAAAAAAGAACAAATTTTTGTCTTCAAAAAAGAAACAGCTGGAAAAACGGCAGAGTGGTAAAGCAACAACTCAGCCTCTCTGAGATACAGGAATTCAGACACGGCAAAATAACAACTTGGAGAAGAAAAAAGATTAGTAGGTCCCCAGGAACCAGGAAGGATCAGCCAGGAAAATGAAACCGTGCAGAGGATGAGAGACAGGACACCAGAGGAGGAACGCACGGGGCCATCTGCACTTTCTCCCCACACAGGCTTCACAGAAAAGGGAAACTGCACTCACAGAGACAAAGCATAAGCTGGGCACTCAGAGAGCATCAGGGAGAAGCTCAGTGGCAGACCAAACCAGCATGGATTCTGCTCCCAGTGAGCCCTCAACAGGCAGCAACTGGTGAGTGAGTCCAGTCCACGCACCCACCGTACCCTGACAGAGTGCTTGGTGGACGCCGTCCCAGGCAAGGCTTGATCCTTTGAACCCGGGACTCAGAGCAGCCGTGGGATGGCTTCATTTCAGGGATCCCACTATTACCTTCTCACAGTGACTGCGGGAGAGTCCACCGTATGAGCCCTGAAGGACCGGAGTTAAGGATACAGGCCCTGCCCGCACAGCAACGCTGGAGCCCTGGCCCTAATCCAACTGCCTGCTGGTACCATACCCAGCACAGCTTTGGTCCTGGCTACCTTCTTCAACTAGAGGTGCAAGCATAGTCCTGACTTGGACAATGGCCCAAAATTGTAGATCCTGGAAGTAAACTACACATTTGAAAGCACAGAGATATTTCTTTCATTCGTTGTGTGTGTGTATGTGTGTGTGTGTGTGTGTATGCATGTGTTGTATGTGTGTGTATGTATGAGCTTTGTTTTCTATTTTCCTTTCTTTCTTCTTAGCCAGTTTACTTGGGTCTGAGGGATTTTCCTGTCTTTCTCCCTTGCTTCCTATCTCTTTTTCTCTTTTCTTTCTTTATTCCTCTTCTAACATTTAATTTTTTTCCCTTTTAATTTTTTCTTTTATTTTTACTCGATACATACTTTCCCTCTTTCTCCCTCTTTTACTCTTATTATCTATTTCTCATCACTTTTATCTGTGACTTTTACCTAATTCTATAAACATTCTCTAGTCTCTAACAGGGTCCCTTCTACCATTTTTTCTCCCCCCTCGTATCATACAATTTAAGGTTTCAAATTTCTCCTCTTGAATTTTCTAGGAACATACTCTAGTATTATTAATGTCACAGAATGAGAAAAGAGCAGAACTGAAAACACTACAATAAGGAAAAAGAGAACAGGAACCAACTTCCTTGGTCTGGCTCACTCTAACGTAAAGGAATAATAACGAAGAGATGGCAGCACTTCTGCATCGCAGCCACTACTACAGTCTGGACCTAAGTGTCCCCCAGAGGCCTAGGCAGGAAGGGCTGGTCCCTGGAGTGGAGCAACTGGGATGTGGTGGACCCACTGGCAGGTGGAGCCAGTGGAAAGAGGCTTCTCAGGGGCCGCAGCGCCTGCTCTCTGCTGTGGGAGGTGAGCATTTTGGCTCTGCCACATGCTTCCACCATGATGTGCTGCCTTGCCAGGGGCCTAAAAGCAGTGGGTGTGCCGCAGCACAGACCACGCCTCTAAAATGATGAACCCAAACACATCTTTTCTCCTTGTAACTTAACTATCCCCAGGTATTTTGTTATAGTGATGGAAAGTTAACACAGGCACAAAGCCTTCTATAGCACTGACAAAACTACTCCTTACCATCTTTAGTATTAAACGATTAAAAAGCCAGCATTGATAATGGTGTTTTTGTTACTATTCTCATTGCTGAGATAAAATGCCCAATACCCAGAGTTAAAGGGGGAAAGATTTATTTGGCTCAATATGTAGAGGGTTCAGTCCATAGTTGGCTGGCTATAATGCAGGGTGGTATGGCAGAGGGGCATTGCAGAGAAGAAACAGTCCATGGCAGGCAAAGCAGTGATGCAACAAGCAGCAACAACTACAATCCTCCTTCTGTCGCTTATGTTCTACCCTTTAGGGCAGGTAGCATTCACACCCAGGGTGGGGCACTCTAGATCCAGCCATTTCCCAAAAGCTCCACCATGAGTGTATGAGGCTTTGGGGGACATCTAGATATAAGCCATAACACATGGGAGGCAAATTATTTTGCAGTAGTGACAGAAAACTGTCACTGCTAGCAATATCTCACTCATTCCAAAATCTGTCTCATATTCTTAAATCTGCTCATCTGATATAGTAGAAGTTTGTTAATGGTCCCTTCCACTGTAAAATTGGTAGCCATGAAAGTAGTTTTTCATTTAACAAATATTTACTCACTCTACAGAAGGCCTGTGAAGCACAGGACACAATCCATAACCCCTGCTCACTTAAGGAAGTGGAAGAGCACACACACATACAATAATTGAAAGGAGCTTAAGTCATGGGGCTGCAATTCATACATCTCACTGCCAGGTGGCTCTGATTTGAATCTGACCGTTCCACTGGCTTGAACCTCTGGTGGTACATGCATGACTGTCTCACTGGGTGACTTACACCGCTTGTCAGGGGGCTTGATTACAATAATGCAATACTAAGTGTTGACCTGGCAGACCAGATGTCATATTATAGTTCCTTATGGAAAAATTAAAGTAATTGTAGTACAGCTAATTTATGGTACAGCAATTGTAAATGACTACTACGTAAGCCAGGAATGAGACACTTGTACAATTTCCATGTTAAAACTTGACAAACTTCACAAATATAAATTTAATGAAATAAATTTATTAATTGTTACAACTTTTTAATTGATAAGAATACAATTAATATTTATATCTGGGGAGTAATTATTTAAATTGAAGCAATTAGATTAGGTCCATTTATACATTTTTTTATTAATTCTATTAATAAAAAGAGCAAGAAAAGTGATTATAGCCATTTGTACCACCAGTGCTTTACGCTACCCAATGGGACAGTCATGTGTGTACACAGTGCTTCAAGCTGGCAGGAAAGTGTTAAATGAAGTGTGGGGTCTTCTGAAGCAAGATGCTTCTCTCCAAAAGGCAGTATAAACATGTGGCTGATTTTACTGAACAGCATCTACAAATCAGATGTTATCCTAAGTAAATCTTAATGCTACTCTTAAATTCTTCATACCAAACTATACTCAAAAATTATAACAAACTTTTGAGAAAAATTTCATTAATTTTAAAAAGATGGAATTTTTAATGAGTTCCAGAGATAAATTTGTCATTACTCTTTAAGACAAATAATATTTCAAACTAGATTATAAGAACACAGTACAGAAGGACCACAGATGTTTGAAAATTATGATTTAATTTAAACGTAACTCACAGACTATTGAATCATAAAATACTTACAATAGCCTTCCTAAGGATATTATAGGGTTAATTCAGTACTAACTACTTTGTATGCCTGACAATGACAAAGCTTCATTTATTTTAAGAAAGTCAGTTTACACTGCCCTTCTCCCCCAACTTAGTCGCAATTACCAAAATATTCTGAAGAATTTTCTCCTCTTGCTACAGGGCCAAACTTATACTGCTAGCTGTTAAAAAAAAAATACTTTGTGTAGAAAATATAGGTTATAATTTCTATAAAACTTTAGAAAACTGTACATGTGACCTTTTATATTTTTTAAGAGTTAAAGATAATTCTAACTTAGAAATCTTTCTTGCTTATTTGATATCTAGTTCAACTGCTTCAGTAAACAAAGTAGCATACTCCAATTCATGTTTCATAACTGAATACTGCTCAGTTTGAAACCTAAAAATCTAAGCAAGTTTAACAGTATAAATATATGTATTTTATGAATTTAATAAATGGAAAGTTACTTAATGTAACTTTAAGCCTATTAAAGATAATGATCTACTTGTTTTTAAACCTTTCAAAGTAATTTCTTTAATTCACCAAAGACTGTGGGCAGAAAAGGAGCGAGAAGAGGGGGAGAGGTCAAGTTCAGTGTTGCAGACAGGAGGAGTAAGTGGTGCTAGTGTTCTATTACACAGTAGGGTGACTATGGGTAACAATAATGCATATCTCCATGACATAATTTAAGGTGATAGATACACTAACTACCCTGTTTTGATCATTACACAATGCAGGCATGAAACCAGACATCAAATCTGTTATATTTACTATATGTAATTGTATATAATTTTTATATATATTACTTGATCAACACATAATGATTATATATCTATGTATATACACACATACATGTATAAAATGTTACATACATGTGTATGTATAATCATTATGTGTCAATCAAGTAATAATCAAGACCAAAAGAATCTTTGAAAGAAAACATACTCAAAGTGAAACTTGTAGGCAAACCTTGGAAAAAAGAATACAGAAAGACACACAAATACTTAAGAGATATTAAACCTAAGAGTAAAAGATAATACAAGCCTAGGGTCAGATCTGAAATCAGCCTCAGCTCTACCCTTGTTAACTGTATGAGTTAAATGAAGCAATTATTTGACAGCCTGACACTCAGTTTCCCTGTGTAATAAATCGGGACCAAAAAGCAGCTGACAAAATTAAGTGAGACTACATTTGTAAATGTGTGTATAGTTAGCACCAAGTAAATCTAGGTTTCCTTCTACCTTAACTTTTCCCCCGTACTCACTTAGAAAATTAAATTATTTTACTCAACCCAAGTGACTAGATTCTAGCAATGTAAAGTCTTCTTTCATGCAATTATGTGGTTAGGCTATCCAAATATGGGGAGAAATGACTTTCCCCATGGTGGGGACAAGTGGGACCCTCCCCAGCCCCCACTGCAGCAGCAGCGCGGTACACACCACTCTCCGCAGTGCACGGCCTTCAGCACGCCCACGGCCGCCGTAGTCTGCCGCTCAAAGCCTTGGCCGATGTGATCTGCGTGGGCTCGCGTCCTGTCTTCAAAGAGCATCTCACGAGGCTCACTGGTTCGAGGTAGGTACTGGAGGTTTTTTATTTCATTGGTAGTTCTGTTGTTTAAAAAGAGTAACATTTATATACTGAAGCACACTTCAAACACTCAATAATCATGTAATTTGGACAAAAGGAAAATACCAATTACCAGCTCTCAAATCAAGTTCTATTTTCAAAATGAATAAGAACACCCCAAAGGGGCAGCTGTAAGCAAACTTGCCTGGATAAGAACTGTAGTTTATCCAGGTCTCCCACACAGCAGTCCCCTCTAAACTGCACTCTCACCTTCTGCCATCTCAGTTATCTGTGCTCAACTGTGATGTGAAAATATGAAGGGGAAAATCCCAGAAATAAAGGGTTCCTAAGTTTTACACTGCTGGCCATCGGAGGAGCATGATGTAGTCTGTGGCACCTCACCCAGTTCTGCCCAGACACAAATCATCCCTGTGTCTAGGAAACCCAGCCGCCCACCCGTGAGTCCCTCGCAGGCAGCCTTCTTCCTGATCAAGTTCACTGTCCAGCATCAGAGTGCTTCTGTCCCCGTCACTCCTATCCTTATAACGAGGCCGCACGCAAGCACTAGTACTGAAACTGCAGGTCTGCAAAGAAAAGCCATGAAGTGCCTCCTTTAAATGGAAAGCTGGACATACAGTAAGACAGTAAGAGAACAGACCACACTACTACAATATATTGTTATCTGACTGAGCCTCATTATAACTTAAACTTCATCATGGGTACGTATGGATTGGGTTCAGTACTGTGTATGGTTCCAGGTGTCTTGGGGCTGCGTATATCACACAGCGAAGGGATCGTGGCACCCAGAATCTTCAGCCAGGGTCTGGGTCTGATCTGTGGGGGACCAAGTGCTGTCTGAGCTCATGTAGCCAACAAAGGACATAAGAATAAACAGGCAACTTTCAGCAGTGCAGTAACTCAGCACCTGCAGGACACGTACTATATCCCAGGCAGTGTATAGGCCCCAAGGCTCATGAATGAAACAACAGTGACAGATGAAGTCCCTGCTCCCGTGGGAGTTTAGAGTCTAGTCACAGGAGTACATTAAAAATGAAAAATAAATTAGCGAGAAAAAAACAGGCAGGAAGTACTTTCCACCAGACACGAATGGTGGGTGGAGGGGTGAATGGAAATCCCAGCTGCGCCTGGGAGCAGCAGCAGCAGGGGCAGCAGGAGCAGCCTTCCCTGCTCACCTCCTAGTGGCCTCGCCTGCTGAGACTCCCTCCCTGCAGAAGCCTGATTCTGCTACAGAAAGAAAAGCAGGAGGCCAAAAGTCACTACTCATCTGCTCGGTGGTTCTTCTCTCACTTCCAGGGAGGACTCTGCTGGTCCCCACAGCCCCCTGGGGTCAGGCAGGTCTCTAACTCCCCACTCTTAACCCCTACTTACTGGTCCTTGTGCAACACTACATTGCAGTCTTACACACACACACACACACACTGCTGCAGTATACCTTCTTGCACATTAGGTCTGGCCAACTAATAAAAGCGCTGTGCCAGGTACTGTGCTAAGCCTTTTTGTGCCCTTCACCATTAGGATGTGGTGTTCATGAGACCCACCTTGTGGCCTTGAAAGACTGCTGCCTTTTCACAGGAAGCAAGAGTTAAAAACTCTTGAAAAACACATCAATCCTTTTTTGACAAGGATTTGCTATGTATTCAGGCTGGCCTTCAACCTGTGGTGATCCTTCTGCCTCAGCCTCCCAAGTAATAGAATTATATGCATGCACCACCATGCCTGGCTCAGTCTTATTTATTAACACCTTCGGAAATCATTTATAAGATTCCATTCATCCCATAATTATTAAGTCCCAGACACTGTTGAGGTGTTACAGACACAATAGTAACAATTAATAATCCCTGTACCCAGAGAAACCACTTTAGGTATCTAGAGAAAAAGGTAGCATCTTCCCTGGAAGTACCAGCTCAATTCCCACAATGTTAACTTAGTGTACATTTCTCAAAAACCTCCTCTATGCTCACATAAATACACATTTACACGTGGGGCTTTACTTCTTTTCATAAAAACAATCATAGATACATTACTGTATATTTTACTCTTCTTAAGTATCATGACTACATCAAAAGACATAACAACCATTCCAACTACTTCACCTACTCCTTAGTGAGAATGTACAAAATGTATTCTACTTCCCCTGTGATACACGTTCAGGCAGGCTGAAAATTTTTTTCTTATTACAAACAATGCTACAATTATGATTCCTCCACATTAACCTTCAGTGCTCTTAGTCCTTGAGATGGTCCCCACGGTAGGGGCAGATCGCTGTCGTTTGTTCTTCCCGAGGTGCCACCTGACACTTTCCCAGGATGACCACAGCCGCTCGCCCCTCGCAGCAGGGAAAGACTGCACCTTCATGCGCTCGTGAGCCTCTAGTGTTTCCACTCTAGTCATTTTCCCCAAAGCCATTTGCAAGTGTAACTGCAAAAACCTCTCCTTTAAAAAAAAATAAACTTATCTGCCTGAAGACTACATTTCTACTGGGTAAGTTTTCATTTTTCTTCTCAATTTTGGGAATTCTTTTTGTACATTTAGTCCATCATGTGCTAACTACTGTTTTACTCCTAAATACTATTAACACGTTTTTCTTTTTGGTCTTGTCATTCCAGGCTTGTAATTTTTATGCTAATATTTTAATTGTTTCACCTGTTCTGTTTAAATCTCTAACTTCCTGTTTGACAGGAAACTGTGTTTCTCAATCTTCCTTCCCCACTGGTCTCACACCTGGTTCCCAACATACTCAGATCTACCTTTGGACTATCTTCTATTCCAATAAGCTATCTGAGTGTTATGGCTATTTTCTTTACCTGGAAACACACACCCTGCATGTATTTTCTCTCAGCGTTCTTCACCACGAACTTCGCACTCACTGGATCGCAAGCTCGGACGGTGAGCCCCACTGACAAGCGCAGCACGCACAGCATCCCTTCCCAGCTGGGCCCGGACTGCCCTGCGCCGGGTGTTACTCACACCCGCTTTCGGGTCACAGGTTCTCAATATTTCTTGTTGAGTTCATTTCAAAACAGTTTATAATGTCTTTGTAAAAGGGACTGTTTTTCCATTCCCAGTTAAAATTTATTGTCATTTGCCTACATCACGCGTGTCTTATTTATATCGAATGTCTTATAACAAATTACAGCAATATCGTAGTGACTTTTGAATTTACATTCCAACTGTGCTCTAAATTTTCCCTTCCTCCTTCTTCCCATTTCACACACACACACCCCAACATACACTCACTCCCTCTCGGCAATAAAAGTGTGTCCGGCATACCTCTTCCTTTTAAAAGGTGACTTTGGCACGTCTGCCACCGGGATCATCTGCTCTCCTGGACGCACCCACATGATGGGGCCATCATCACTGTCTCTGCGACTCTCCAGCTGGAGGCTGGACAGGGTCCCCCACGGCAGTGTGCACTGGAGAGAGAACGGCAGACACTCACGACTTCAAATAGGCGCGAGTACGGCTCCCCCCACACGCACACACTCACATACAGCTTACACATGTGAAACACGTACTACATGGAATGTACTCCCATACATTCATATGTTTACTTCCAGAAGTTCTATTCCAAACACATCAAGAGAATAATCCCTCTTAGATGGTTCCCTGGCCCTACCAGAAGTACGACTCACTGTATTCATCATTTGTTATTCTTCCTTCTCCCCAACATATGGGGTATATGATTTTAATAAGTTAACAACATAAATGCTCCCCATAACAATCTATAAAAATTAACTAGGAAAAATTTTTGTTGTTTTGCTTTTTTGAGACAGGTCTCACTATGTAGTTCAGAGTGACCTTGAACTCACAGCTATCTTCATGCCGCAGCCTCCCAAGTGCTGGGATTAAAGGCGTGCACCACCATACCAGGCCCAAGAATGAAATTTGAATTTGTTTTTTCTTCTTTTTGGAGACAGAGTCTCACTATGTAGTCCAGGTTGGTCTTGAACTCACTCACTATGTACCCCAGGCTGACCTCAAACTTGTGGTGATCTTCCTGCCTCAGCCTCCCTAGTGCTGGGGTCACAGATGTGTGCCACCACACCCCACCTGAAATTTAAATTTTAAAAATGCAGTGAAATGTGGTGGCACATGCCTATAATCCAAGCACTTGGGAGGCTACAGCTGGAAGACCCCAAGTTTGAGACTGCCCTGGTACCTAGCAAGTTCAAGGTCAACCTGAACCTCACAGTGAAACCCTGTCTCAAAAACAAACAAAAACCAAATATATAAAGCCAGATAGTTCTTTGGTTAGTAATCAAATACTAACAAAACAAAAAGGGAAACCAAATCAAAATCAAAATCCACTTCTGTTTCATTCTGTCTTGCAGAGGTTGTTGGCTTAAACCAGATATTAGAATGTTTTTAAAGAGAAAATGAGCAGGAGGTAGGAAAAAGGGCAAGAAGAAAAAAGAAAAGAAATATATTTCTGAAAGCCACTGTCCATGAAATGACATTAATGATGTTAAAAAAAATTATATCCCGTTCTAAAATTGGGAAGGACTGTTAAATTTCTTTTTTAAAATGCACTTACTTCATCTGCTTTGAAAATTAAATTTGAATCAACTACCTAAATAATATTTGGAAATATTTTTAAAATATTATTCAATAGGGTGGGCATGGTAGCACATGTACTCCCAGCACTAGGGAGGCTGAGGCAGGAGGATCTCTGCAAGTTCAAGGCCAGCCTGGGTTACAGGGAGATTCTGTCTCCAAAAAAAGAAAAAAAAGAGAGAAAAATCAATAATAAATGCAAATCCCATGATGTAACTGGTTGGAAGAAAGAGAAAAGGAATTAAAACAATTAATGGGGAAAAGAAAGAAACAGAACAGGGTGCAAGAGAAAGGTGAGATACACAAACACATAGGGTAGGCAATCTATCAACAGAAGTAGAAACGTTATGTGGTGAACACTGCAGAGAAGCTGATCTCCCGTTCTGCAGGTCGCTTAGGCCCTGCTCGCAAGGCAGGCGCATGCTGACCCAAGAATCACTCCCCCACGCAGCCCGAGATGGCGCTCAGCAGGCACAAACGGTTCTTGGACACAGAGGCTGTTTTAGAAAGAAGGAGTCAGCCTAGACATCCTTGAAGGAATTTAACGGGGCACTGTGCTACATGGCCTAAACGTCTTATTTTATAGAAGAAGAAATGAAAGCCTTGAAAGTTGAAACCCTTTGCTCAGCCCACACAGGTACAGCCAAGGCTAAGCCACAGATGTGGTTTCCCACAATGCCAAACTGCTACTCTTGGGTCCTGAACGCTTCAGTTCTGCAGGCATTCATCCCATCCTGGAGTCCTCCAACGTTTAGTCTGAGAAGAGCTCATGAACAGAAGGAGCCACGGTTCCCGAAGAGGCTGTCACCGGAGACTAGGACTTCTGGCCCACCGCCACTCTGGGTGAGGGCCTGGGTCACGCGGACACACTCCCCCCGACCGTCCTGTCTTCCCCGTTTTCCCCTCAGTTTCAGTAAGGCCGGCAAGCTTTCACCTCTGAAACAGCCATTCATTTGTGCCCCTTACAGCACGAACTAACAGCCACACTTGAGAAGGCGGAGACTGTCTCCTCTTACTTTTAAAAACGGTGACTCTTCCAACATGTCGAGGAACTCAGGGAAGTAATCGCCCACTTCTTCATCAACTGCTCCCACCAAGCTTATCTGTCGCATCGGGCCAGCTCTGTAAGTACCGTGGGAATATGTTCTTTTTACCTGAAGAATATGAATTTCATCAACAGTTACAACGTGTGTGCTATTGCTGCGTGACAATAAATTACACTGTCTCAGAACATTAGCACATGTGAGGCAAAACAAGAGCCTTTATTGACAATAACAAGTAAGGCATTAAAAAAACCTGTGTACTAAATCAAGTATTTTCCTTCTCTGTTTTTATGACTGCTTATGAAGACAGCTCAGATAAATAATATAATTCTAGACAATAACATTTGCCTATAATACAGTGTATTGTGTGATCACCAACGGCACTGAAATGAAATGTAAAACTTGGTACGCCTGCGTTTTCCTCCAGCACTGGTTCAGCTCTTTTTATGAGAAGCTTTAAGCTGCCCATTACTACTGGTTTGATGCTTAAGCAGCCAGTAGGGATGTTCTTCCTTCCTAAATCTTAATCATTAGGAGACACAGTTACAGGTATTAACTCTGATGAAAAATTGCTCAGCCCCACATCTACGCTGGCTGTCTACCAGCCACGTGACTGGCCTTCAGAAACCATTTAAATTCATTTCCTTAGCTGCAGTGTTCTACCTCAACTTGCCAAAGTAAACCTAACTCCATAAAGCCATACGCCATAGTGGTATCAGGGAGTGACGTTCACAGAGCCAAAATGAAGCAGCCTAAACCTCGAGATTCACAGATACCTAAATTTTGGCAAGCACACTTAAAAACCTAACAAACCTATGTGTTTCATATATTAACTAGTAAATAAGTTGGGGCTTCATTTTAAGCAAAACTCCTTTTCGTAAACAAAGTGTAAGCGAACTCTTTCTCTGAATTACCCTTTGCACCCACTAAACTCAGAAGACCAACCTGTCCCAGTTTGCCCAGGATTAACTCTGAAAACTGAACGCCTTATGTCTTGGGCGAACGCGGACAGCAGCCAACCTTACTCTCACCCCGGGCGCATCCTCCAGTCTTCTCTGTCACGGCTGGTGCTGTGTCGACACGCAACACACAACGCAGCGGCTCAGCCAACGTGACACGAAAATCCTCCCGGGATAACCTCATCATCGCGTTAGAGAACCTTCCCCATCACAACTGACACAGCAGTGAGCCATGGAACACATGCACTCCAAGCTAACGAATGTATCCAGGTTATACACTTGACTCCTCATAAGCCACTGCACAGTCATTCTCAGAGCCCAGAACCACTCCCAAGTCCCCCGTTGCCCACGTTGGGATCCGCATCCCCGTCCAGTACTCGGGCGTGTGCTCTCCTAGGAGCGCTCCATCCAGCACCGCCAAGCTCCAGGCTCAGGACTGACTCTAACACCCTGACGTTCCAGATGTCCAGATGCAGGGACAACATCACGAGGAGAAAGCCAGCTACCCGCACACACCTGCGGAAGGCAGCCCTCGGTGCTGAGCGTGGACCTGCCTCCCGCCAGCTGAGAAAATGGCATGGCAAGTGTGCACCCTGATGCCAAGACCGCGGCTACCTTTCAATCCACACGAGACTCTGCAGAGTTCTGAGTTCTGCAGCCGTAGTGTGAAGGCCGGGTTGGGAGGAGAGCTCAGTGCCAAAGCATTTGCCTACTCCGCAAGAAGCCCTCGGTTTGATCCCTAGCACCAAAAATGTTTAAGAAGTAAAATCAAACAACTATATTGTAAAACACAGAATTTCCAAGTGTTTTGAAGTGTAACATTTGGCTTTTAAAAGGCAATTAGGAAGGCAACAAAAGTAGGTCATTTTCCTATGTATCAATTTGCTCATCCAAATAAATATCTCATGTAAAGTCACAAGGTTCTAACAAAGCAAGAATCAAATAAATTCTTGCTGCCCAGGCGGTTCATTCTCTATCACAGGACCAACAATGATTACAATTAATCCCAGCACTGGGGAGGCTGAGGCGGGAGGATCGCTGTGAGCGCACCGTCAGCCTGAACTCCATAGTGAGATCCTGTCTTAAAAAAAATAAAAATAAAAATAAGTACAACTCTAACCTAATGGTCTATTAAGTAATGTGGGCAGTTTACCATGAGGAGGAAGAAAGGCGGCCTTTACAAGAGGAATTTTTAGTGAGTGAATTCTTCTAAAATAATAAATAAACACAGCCCGATTTCATGAGCTCTCCCAAGGAAACGGATACACTAAACACACTTTTAAAGCAAGCCAAATGGATTGCTGCTCACTAGATTTTTCCCCAAGAGGGCACACACGAGAATTAAATACATGCCTACAAAAGATATACCGCCAAAGAACGCTCTTTAATATGAAGGCCCACAGACCGAGGGGCCCACACAATCATCTGAGGAAACCTGAAGTCTCAAACTAGACTACTGTCATTGTACCTAGTATGAAAAATGAGCCCCCACTAATTACAAAATTATTCACTTCTTAAATAAATGGAACATCTGCATTCTACCCTAGGTATTATCACACAATTCAGGTAACTACTTCCACTCTGAAAAAGATGCCATTACCAAACTAGAGAAAGCAGGACACAAACAGAACTAGTAGGTAGAAAACCAGGACTAACGAATAACAAACTTAACGGTCAGCCCTGCAGAGCAAAATCCCCAGTTTAAATGTGAGCAATAATGTGTACAACTGAGCACGGCTTCTTGGGCAGTGGAGGTGCAAATGCCACGCTCCTTGGCAACCCCAGCACTTCACTTTCATTAACCAATGCTGCCATTACAGGCTAGAATGTTTCACTGACTAAACATGCGTTGCTGACCTACCCATCTCATTCCATTCAAATTACACATCTGCACTAATTCACCTTGAAGTTTACCATGTTCTTTTATTTTTACTTATTTATGTTTTTGGTACCGGGAATCAAACTCAGGACCTTACACTTGCCAGGCAGACACTTGTGCCACTCAGCTATATTCCCGGCTACAAATGTTCTTTTTTAAAAAAAAAAAATGAAATGCATGTCTGAATGCATACAGGCTGGACATTAGGCTAAACAAACTAGAACTTAGTTTTTCTCCTGTCCTACATTTGGGGTATGTTTGGGACCACTTAAGAAGAGACTATCTTTTAGGATTTTTTTAAAAAGTATGATCCCCTTAAAATTCTTAAGTATTTCAAAAGATTCTGGAGAAACTAAATTTTATAAGTAATACATCCTCTACAAGGATTATATTCTTTCTTCTTTTTCTTGGTACTGGGGAATCAAACTCAGGACCTTGAGCTTGCCAGGCAGGCGCTTACACCACTGAGCTATCTCCCCAGCCCGGATTATATTCTTAAATAACCTAAACAAATCCAGATAATTAGTTCTTACTTCAAGGCAAAATATAAACAAATACATAGAGATTATATATAAAATTCACTTACACACATACAGGTCTTTCTCCCTTTCAATCAAAATGTACTAAAACTATAAATTAGATCTTATTTACCCAATATAAAAACCAAAGGTAAATTTTATTGGGAAATATGGTAAATCCTATTAGGAAATTCCATAAGGAAAAACTGTATACTCTTAGCTATCATGTTAAAAACAAAACAGTAATTTTCTCCCAAGACATTTATTCTCCAAGTATTAAAGATAATACTATAATAAGCCAATGAAATACATTTCAATTTAAAACTAAATTTTAAAAATAAAACTGAAGACATCAAAGTGTTAACCTGTAAAGTAACTGAATTTAAAAATTTTTTTTGTTTTTGTTTTTGTTTAGATACTGAGAATCAAACTCAGTATGTGCTTGGCAGGCAGGCCCTGTGCCACTGAGCTATCTTCCCAGCCCAAATTTTAAAGTATGTTATAACATATTTTAAAATATCCATCATTTCACAAAATCAGCAGGGACCATTCATTTAATGTTTTAAATATGGTAGACTACACGTAACAATATAGTCACATTCAAAAAGTTTTGTTTTGTTTTTTGAGACAAGGTCTCACTATGCAGTTCAGACCAGCCTTGAACTCAGTATGTAGCCTAGGCTGACTCCAAACTTGCAGTGATCCTCCTGCCTCAGCCTCCAGAGTACTGGGATTATAGCTGTGTACTACCAAGCCTGGTCACATTAAAAAAGTATGTACCTCTCTATTAAACATATAACTGGCACCTGAGCTGAAAATAGAATGCAAAAATAAAAACCCATGCATTTTTCCCAAAAACAGAAATGCTCCCCGATTTTGGTAACTGTTGTTTTACCACAACGCTATACAGCCAATGTGCACGGTTAGCCCATTACACAGAATAAGATTTCCCCACAGTATCCTATGAAAACAAAGCCACACCTCTCTCCCACACCTGTGACTAGGAAGAACTCCGAAGGCAGAGGGTGGCGGGGGGGGGG